GTAAACCGCTTAGAGAGGGCTGAAAGCCCTATGAAGTGGTATATAAGTCTAACTGCTATTGCTATTGCTATTGCTAACTATGTCCATGAAGTCATTAAGATCTGGGCTCCACTAAAAGGCTTGTTTACTTAGAAATATGCCATTATTGGATTCTTAAACTCTTCAGACCGACAAGCAACACTGCTGCATGATGCAGGATCCATCATGAGTCGGTCACTGGGACACACACTTGGCTAGAGAGATGTTCCTTGAGGATGGGCTCCTACATGAATCCGAAAGCCCGGAAGACTAAACCTCTGGTCCCAGTGACGAACCCAGATTGGATCCTATAACATTATTCTGGGACACATATATTTGTCTTCATTCATTGCAGCATAATTTTATATAATATCATAGATTGAGATTATATACACATAAATTCTAGATATAAAAACATACCTTTAAAAATATTAGAAGTCAGTACCCTCTAGTCTATCAATCATATTTCTAAATCCACCTCACTATTTGAAAATCTGTGAGGATATAGAGATTTATCTCACCTCTTTGTCAAATTCCTGATCTGGATCAGACATACTTCGCAAGGGCATGGCTGCTCCCTGGTCGCTGCCACCTGCAAAGCAAAGGTGTTTGAGAATCTCCCCTAGGAGAAGCTTAGGAAGCTTATGGCTTTGAAAGAGATCTACTTTGATGCTTACTTGAAGATGGCCATGAAATGTAGCTTTTATTTCTGTGAGGTGCTTGGCGAGAAATGTTGCTTGTTGAAGGACAAACCTTCTCATCTTGTGTCTGTAGCAGAAATGTAACCAAACTCAATTAGATGGATATTTTCAACTTGTTTCTTTTTTTTAAATACAGAGAGCCTTTTAAAATATTTAAAACCTGAAATCAGTACAAGAACCATTTAAAAAAAATGGTTTCATCTTGACTACTGAGAATCATATAAAGCAAAGCATGTTGCTCAAAGAATCAGCGAGGGGATAAATATAGCCATTCCACCCCAAAAAGCAAGTAAAAAGGTCAGTATTTAAATCTCAGTTCTTTCCAGTAGCTGGAGACATTTTACAAAAGTTATTAGAAAAATAAGTCTGTTTGAATGAGCCACATCAAATTATCTTTTGCTTTACAGCTTTATTCCCCTCTTGAAGGCTAACGAATGGCCAAAGTTATAAGTTAATGCCTTATTTTGGATGTGGTGACATTCTATTAATTGTGTGATCTTACTGATTTTGCCAGTGTGCTATTACAGTCTGATATTATGCAGCATAAGGAACAGAATTTGATTGCAAATTATGCCTCTAGGCTTTCCAAATTATAAAATGGGAACATGATTTGCTTTTTACTTTTGCTGCATTTGGCAGCTATGATAGTAAATGCTGGCAGTTTGGTTGCAATGAAACAAATATTGAGTATTATCCAATAAGCTTTCTCTTTGCCTCCTGCCACTGGAAGGATGGTTACTCTCTTATCCTAGATTATTAGCCTATTAGAGAAGACGGGATTTAGATTTTGCTCTGACAGCCTGCTGTTTTAACTGCAGAACTCAGGGCAGGAAAGCGCAAGCTTATTCACACAGAGGTTAGCCAGCTGAGAGGTCTAATGCACACTATCATCCACTTCAGTTCCTAAAGAGCTGCTCCTACCCTTGCTACAGAAGCAGAGGAGGGGCAGGAAGAGGAGGAAAGCATTGAGGAGGAATGGTCACTCTGGAGAAAGAGATCAGCAGAGATAGGGCTCATGTGATAGACGTGCTCAAAGCCTGTTGGAGATGATATCAGAGCAGAATGTCGGGAGGATGAGGGGGAAGGAAATTCATTCTATTATTTTAGACAAAAGAAACAAGAAAAGGAAGGAGGGAAAGAAGAGTTATTCAGAAACACTTTCAGAAGCCTGGCAATTTACTTCATTTTCCACGTCCTTGTGAGCTCCTGGCAACAGCTCTCAAAACAGCATTACATGGGCTGTTAAGACGTCATTTCTCACATGCCCACGTCAAAATGAAGGCCAAAGGTTAGGTTTGCATTCTCCCTTCCCTCCCTTCCCTTTTCCTCTGCCTTCAGTCAGGGCTATTAACTTTGTATTTTTCTGATTAGTGTCTCACCATAGGAGTGTTGGAAAAGATGTCAATAGTAGAAGAGATTTTGGATTGAAATAGTTAACAAATCATTGTGAAAGGACATCCCAAAATTGCTTAACTGGACTTTCTGGTTTTTCTTTGAAGACGTTTCACTTCCTATCCAAGAAGCTTCTTTAGGTCTGACTGGATGGTGGGGACTGGAAGGATTTATACTCTTTGCAGACAGCTGGTGATTTGCATTCTTTTAGCAAGTCCTTGAGGCTATTTGGAGGTTTATCTGTGCCATCAGGGTCACCTGAGAAGGGGGATATTACATCATCCGTCTCCAAACTACCACACAGTCCTTTCAACAATTCCAAAAAGGCTCCACACCCATTTGCACCACTCAGGAGACCCTGATGACACAGATAAACCTCCAGGTGGCCTCAAGGACTTGCTAAAAGAATACAAATGACCAGCTGTCTGTAAGGAGTATATATCCTCCCATTCCCCACCATCCAGTCAGAGTTGAAGAAGCTTTCTTGTCATCAAAGAAAAACCAGAAAGTCCAGTTGCCTCTTGAAAAAAAAGCATCTTTGGGACAACCATGACGGATGACTGAAAATCTATATAGACATTGTGAAAGGAGTATTTATTTATTCAATGCACAGATAGTCCTCAACTTAGGACCACAATTAAGCCCAACATTTCCATTGCTAAGCAAGGCAGCTGTTAATGGAATCCAGCTCCCTCCCCCTGAATTTGCTTGTCAGAAGCCACCGAGGAAGGTTACAAAGGGTGATCCTGGGACAATGCAACTTCATAAAATACATGACAGTTGCCAAATGCCCAAAATTTGATCACATGAGCATGGGGCTATAGTAATAGCAATGTAAAAAATGATCATAAATCACTTTTTTCCTCAGTGCCTTTGTTACTTTGAGCAGTTACTAAACAAATGATTGTAAGTTGAGGGCTACTTGTAGAAGGCTGCCAATTTATGTGTGACCTGTGGGTAGCTCACTATTAAAATAAATTAAAAGAGTTAAATGAAAAGTAACAAAAATTTAAAAAAAAATTCAAACACAAGCAGCTGATAAACAACCAAGTGTAAGAGACTGAATTACAGCCAACCTCTAAATTCTTTATAGGAACCATCTTAAGCCTGCTTAATGATTTCAATTACCCCTCAGAAAACAAACAGTATCCCCTTTTGGACTGCAAAAACTCCTAGCCAACGTGTCCTCTGGCCGAGTGAAGGCTTTCTCTGTGAACATTTTTTGGGGAGTTGTTTTACCAATGGCAGATCCATGAGCACTTGCATTCCATCTCCTGGTCCCATATGAGCCACATGGTTGAAATTGGTGGGGTTGGAAATCATTCTGGATCTGAGCTCGGGATCTCGGAGCATCTCTCTGAATCAACAAAGGGTATCATATAATGATTTTTCAACATGGAAAAGATTCCCTTTCCACCCAGGTTGTGACAAAACTAGCCAAGCCTTACCGTCTTTGTTGTAATCTTTCTTCCTCAGGAACTTTAAAGACGAACCGTCTTTTGCTTCTAGTACGGAGCATTTGCTTTTTGCTGGTGTCAGATGTTTCTGGCACACTAAGAGTAGTTCCTCCTGTAAAATATATATAATGCAATTACAAAGCCTACAGGTTGTTCTCCAGATTTTTATCTGTTACATTGTGGAAATCTCTCAATCTCCAAAGCTGCATTACACATAAATCACATATTGCTTTCTAGAATTATTATTTGACTGCAAGATATGCATACTTTAATTTTATGAATGTTTTCCATAAAGGGCTGTGCAAATAAGACTTAATTCAGTCATTTCACAGAAAGGTTTCTACTCCTTGGTTTCAGATACGTTCAGGTAAGGGCTGGGAAGTGTCTCCATCATATGCCACTAGTAATGACAATACTAGCATAATTGACCCGTAGTCTTATTTACAACCATCTCCTTTTAGCTAATTAAGTCAATACAATTATATACAATAATATAAATTGTACAATACAATTAAAATAAAATAGTGTATTACAAAACTTTAATAGATGCCTATTATTTTTAATGAAGTTCTAAAAAAAGAGAATAAATTCTATGATCTATTTTTTTTTATTGAAATAAAAGCCACTTTAAGTCTTTTCCTTGTCGTGCTCTGTTCAAAACTAAACAAAACTAAATAAATTTATAAAATTTAGTTTTATAAAAACTAAAATATACATAGGTATAATATACTAAATTAAAATTAAGACTCCCCAAAATCCAACTCGAGTAAGCCCCTTTCTACCCGTCTACCAACCTGAAAATTTGTTCTTGAAATAAATTAACCGAGGAGGTTCACAGCTAAGGAGATTCAATGTGCCATTAACATTTAGAGGTCGGATCTGTTATAAAGGCAAAGTAAGAGAAGCTTTTTAGAATAGGCCTTCAGTACAATGCAATGAAGTTTTCAGAAAATTATAAAGCATATTTTACTCTACACTCAAGATACTAACCTTTCTTAAACCGATAGTTTGGACCCATTCCATAGTGTTAACATCAAAAACATCAACCCCATATTCACTGTACACGGTTAAATAGGATGGATTGCAACCTGGAGAGAAAAAAACAAAATCTCTTATGGCTCCATATATTTGAGATAAAACTGAGTGCCTCAGTGTTTACCGCTGTTGTTTCTCAAGCTGATTAATACTGGAGAATGGTATCTTATGCAAAATTTTCATGAGCACCGAAAATCCTTGCTGGAGCTATTCCACTTTTGACTCCAGGTGGGCACTTGAATTTTGAAACAAACAGATAAAGTCAAAATCCTGGCCCCAATAGCTAGCATTTTATATAAAAGAAATATTACATTTATTTATATAATAATTTAATTTATACCCTACCTTTGTGTTTAATCAAATACTCAAACATCCATATTCAAACATTCATTTTGAATATATAACAGGGGGAACAAATTGGTCTAATGAATAATGGTGTTTACTTACTATGTTTTCAAAAGGTTTTTACATAATAAACTTCTGCCTGATATTCAATCACTGTGGGCAGCTAGTTATGCTCATTAAAAAAGCAACTCCCCTGGCCATACAATTATCTCATATTTCTCTTTGATACTCAAGAGGAAACTTGCTCTAAACACAGAACCTCCCATAGATAGAATTTTTGACAGCACATTAAATGAAGCATTTCCCATTCAGTGGTTGGATTTCAGTTTACCAGCAAAAGCCTTGCAGTTTAATAAAAGGATGGCATTGCCTTTTGAACATCATACCAAATCACCTTTTCCTTATTTCGCAACAGTAGATTTCATACATATCTTTAAGGAAATCTCTTGCAATTATTCATATATTCTGGCTGAGATGAAGATTTTAATTTGAGTATTCAAGTATTTGCAGGCATGATTAATATTATCTCCAATTTTGATGGAGGGCAAAGCCAAATAGCAAGAGTTAAAAGCAACCCCAGATGAAAGTAAGAAGAACCACAGAGTAGCATTTAACATCAGCAACAGCTTCCCCCACTACACGAAAAAAGTGGGTTAGGGAAGAACACCAACCACACCAGGGTCACAAATTCATACAGTACAGTGAGTAACTTTCTGTCTATATTACTAAAAGCAAAGTTGTAAGAGGAACCCGACTTTTGTTAGGACTTTGAAGTGGCTGATTTCACACTAAGACTAGGCTCATATACCACACTAAGCAATACATAGACCATCGAGTGATAGAGCTTATACTACTGGGAGGCAACAAGAAAAATGGTTGAATCAAATCCAGCACACTATTTCCATAATTGTTACTTTCTTCTGCAAAATCTGGATGCAAGCTTAGATAGCATGTAAATTGGGCACCATGCTGAGTCAAATCGGCGATTGGGTCTATCAGCTGTTCACCAATTGAAGTGAAGCAATCAAAGATACAGAAACAGAAAAACATATACATACTACACGCAACGGGAGTGGCGGGCCACATTAGTTCCTGCATGCGTGACCTTCGACCTTGTGCATCAACGTATACTCCCAACAGGCTGAAGCAAAGTAGGTATTCCTCGTTGCTGAGCTCCACAGCACAAAGGGTATCAAAAGACTGTTGTGAGAGGAATGCAAGTGAAGAATCAGTGGGATTTATCAGGCTTATTGACTGTCCATCTCCTTGGATGTTCAATAAAGAGAAACCGGATGGGTAGCCAACACAAAGTCTGTCTTTGAATACCGCCATCCATTGTACATAGCCAGGAGCTTGGATTTCATTAAACTTTTTATGGAAAGGTTTAGTTCTGCAAATTTCATAGCAGAGAATCTGTCGCTTAACGGCCACAAACAAACTCGGTAAGGAGCTCTTCTTCAGCACTCCAGTTGTAATGAACTGGCAGCCTTTCGTTTCAGGAAGCTTGACATCAAAGCTGCTTTCTGATCCATCCAGGGAAGACCAAGGATACAAGTGAACATGATGATTCCGGCCACAAATGAGAATAATTATTTTCTCTTTGGGAACCAGCTCTATCTGGTAGACCTTCTTGCAATCAGCAGCTCGAACAATCACTAGGGAAAATAACAATGCACATAAGAGAACACGTATGTGTCGAGCCATGATATGTTAACAATGTAATTGTTTGAGAAATATGTAATCTTTTGATGTAACAAGGACATAGCTGTACCAGCACAAATCTCATTATGAATTTAAGCAATGGCATCAAAACAGCAATAAATAAACAAATAACAAGTTTTATCATAGCAGGAGCAAAATGTTTCATTTTAAACACATGTGGAGCTGTGAATTAATTCTTGAAAATGAAAATCTGAGCAATTATGGATCGTTTCCTGAAAAAAAGTTCCATCACACAAATTCTAACTTCCTAATCATTTTATCAACAGAAACCTTCACACTGCCCTGGTGAGGGGTAGGAACAAATACTAGGAAAACATAACAATTGTTATTCATACAGAATTTCAAAACAGTACAAATAAAATCAAAACTAAAGTGGACATGGACAAGCAAAAATAAGAGTAGTAATTGTAAATGTTCAGGAAAAGTTAGCTTTTAATAAATTTAGAAGGCTATGCTAAGACTTCGTATTTTTCTGTCTTTTGATCCTTCTCTGTTATGGATAAGGTTCCGGAATGTGAGTAATTCTACTGAAAAGGCCTCCTTTCCTGGAAAGCTTAATTTTCCTATAGAATCAGAAGATTCTGAGTGCCAATAACTGGAGTTATGCATGGGTAGTCAGATATTTTAACATTGAAAAGTCAAGTAAAAACCTTTTGAATTGGGCTCAGAAACCAAATGGCTTCTGCTGCAGGTACTTTAGGATAAGTATTTTTTAAATATGCTGTCAAAAGTCTGGCAGTTATATTAGCTAAAGCTTCTGAACTGTCTTCAAAGGTACTTCGGTACAAAGATAGTACAATAGAGAAGCATGGAAAATGTAAAGCATGCCTATTTGAATAATCTACTTTTCTTTGGTACAGAGAAACATGATATAATTTATATTTAAGTATCAATAATTCTCTAAAAATCGTGATTCAAAGAATTACAGCATTACTGCTTTTGGCACTGTGCAAAATGTGCCTAGGTATGAAACCTACAGCATGCATAACTCTTAAGATTGGCCGTATGAAAATCATGCATACTTCCAGAATGTAATGGATCAAAAGTCTCAAGAGAAATAGATTCTCATATCTGCTTCTGTCCTGTAAACTCAAGAGAGTCCCTTCTCTAGAAATTAGTTAAAAATCATTAAAGTCCCTTTCCCAAGTTTAGCATAATAAATACAAGCATAGGAATGGAAATATTGCTCTGGAAATCAGAAATGAATTTTCGATAAAAAAGAGTAAAAAGGGAAACTTTAGCTGAAGGATAGAATTATTTCAATTATCCAAATACATTACTTCCAAGTTACAGGGTAGCAAACCTTACTGCTAATATTTCAAGTCCTTTCCAAAGTCATAATTATTCTGAGGTTTGTGGAACTGGATGACACAATAGCAGGATTTTGCACTTTAGTGCTTGGACATGCATTAAAAGACCTCCAGAGTATCCAAGAAAAACTGCTTTAAAATGAATAGCTTCAGAAGTCTACTTGCTATTAGGCAAGTGATGTTTATACAAACAAGGCAGAGAAAGCATGCAAAACACAGCTTCTGGAATTGTTTCTAACTCCTTAATACTAGCTTCACTTGACTAGGAGGAAGGAGAAAAAAGATAAAGCAAGTGACATAATTCCTTTCCAACATTCTTTTGGATTAGAAAGAATAAAAATGAATATTTCCTCTTTGCTCTCACATACTGTACTGTAAATTAATATTACTGTGAATCTGCCTGGATGGGTTACTAGAGGATTTACAGCTGTACAGCATGAATATATATGAATTATTTTTTTAATTCTCTATTTCTTGCCTTTTTTAATACAAAGTGCCCAAATGCTAATAAAATGGGTTTCATGAAGACATTACCAAAATGTTTTGATCAGTAGACAGAATAACAGGAAATGGAGATATACTCTGTCCTGGATGATTTTGTACTAACTAGTTTGCTAGATTTCCCCCCCACCCCCCAAAAGGCTAATGAGGGGTAGATCTGGATGGGAGACCAGATCAGAAACCCATGGCTTTAGGCTAGTTTGCAAAGTTGAAAATATATATTTGAAAATGGCAATAACAAACTATTTTTTTACTGTTGCCAAATGGGAGGGGAAAACATTTGGCATATCCATATAGTCATCAGGAGCCAAGTTCAACTTGATGGAGACAGTTTTTATAATTTGGGAATGCTTCCCATATTCAAATGGCTAACTTTTCATTTTCTAGCTTTAGTTAGTGTGCACACTATTCTACTTTCCAGATAAAACAGATTTGATTTTGCTCCCACAAGTCCTAATCAAATCCAGACCACATTAGCCCAACATGCCAAAAATCACATGCTTTTGGAAAGCAGTCAGAAAGTTCTGATGTTTACAGAACACATAACTAAATTAATTTCTGGGACAGAGAAGCTATTTATCATCTCAATTTTGTTCTATCTATACCCTCAAGTTCATTTCCAAACCTAACATATTGTACACGTATGTACACACACACCCGTGTACACACACAAACACCTGTGTATACTCCCCCATCAAACTACTCCCATTCAGAATAAGCTAAACAATATGCAAGGGAAGAAGAGGAATAATAAACAGCAACATGAAATAAGTAAAATAGTAGGATATATATTCAGCGAGGTCTCACTCGCCATCTTCAGGCTGGGTTTTGGTCTTAAAGTGTGATCGGAGCTGCCGTCTTTCTATAAATCTTGGTGGGGGTGTGTGTGGAGTGCTGGCTTTGTTTCAGTAAGTAGAATGATTGGTTGTGTGGTCGTATCATGATTGGTAGATTGGTGCTGATTGTTGCTGGCTGTGTGTCTATTGTTTCGTGTTGTAATGGCCTGGGTGGTGGGTGGGGCTTGTTTGTTGACTAGGGCTGGTTTCCAGATGTCTGGTAGGTGGAAGGTATCATTACGTTTATTCATGTTGTGGGGGGTGTTTCTCTATTTCAATAGCTTCCATAATTATTTTCTTGT